TGTCTTAAGGAGGTGGTTACTGATTTAATTTTAGTTGTATTTGACAATTTCAGATAATCTTATTATCAATGGAAGCATTACTTCTGGAAAGAATGCAATATCAAGTGGCAGGTTTTCTTTGTTCTGAAATACAATGGATATAAGAAAGGAGGCCCCTACACATGAACCCAGGGGCATCATCTACTTGAGGACAGACTTCTCTCCAATTCTTGGCTCAAACCAAGCTCCCAGTTCAAGAAGGGCCCTGCACTCCTGCAACTGGTACAACTCTAGGCAACTACATTTCCTAGAGACAGCATGACACCATCTAGTCTGTGTTCTCAGTCCTCCCTTCCCTTTTCTTTTCTTTCACCTCTCTCTTCCTATTCACATTCCATTGCCTTGTTTCTCAAAATCCTCGCTCTTAGGTAACTGTCATCCTTCTCCTCAGGCAGTTGGTTGATAAAGACTTAATTAAGCCAGTGGCATGCTGAAGCCAAATGGTACCAGCTTGTGAGAGATAACTGCTCAATATTCAGGAATTTTACAAGCAAACTTTCAACTTTTGGTAGCTAGTCATCAGCCTTGGAGGAAATGCTTATACCCAGGAAATTGGCATTGTTAACACTCCCTACTGGCCTGTGAGGAGCTGGCTTATCTGCACACCATTGGGTATTACACTGCCCAGGGGACTTGCAGTCTTAGTGGGTACTCCTGAAAACCTTAAAGATTCAAAACGAACTTCCATCTCTGAGATTTCTCTAACAGGGAATATTTTCTAACAGGGGTAAGTGATAAAAATAATAGGTAACATTGCCAAGGGTTACCACATAGGCACAACCCTAGATCATCTTGGTAAAAGTCGGCTCTACAGATATATATCACTAGGAGATATGGCAGGAAAAGGTCTGAAAGGCAATGCCTTTCTGGGTCAAGAAAGATTCCCAAAGATACATGTACACGTAACCATTATATAAAACAATTCTGTAACACTGACCTGCTGAGAGACAGTTTTCCGAGTTACTGACCAAAACAAAGAATGAAGCATGCTTTCCAAGAGGGGACCATGCTTCTTGCACCACCACAAAGGATGTGGAGGTAACTCAGTCTGTGCACTGAAAAACTAAATTTACTGAATGCCAATTAAATAATTTAATGATTTCTAAAACTGAAAATGGGTCTTAATATTCTACTGAGATCTTCAAAAGTCAAAACTTCTAGACTAGTGCCTAAAGAAAGGCCAAGCTTTGTTACCTAAGTTGCATTGAACTGCACTTATTCATAGCCCCAGAATATTTTCTTTAAAAGAGGGAATAGATCAATGGTGCTTAATATAAATTAGTCATCTTTTCCATGTATTTCTTTCCATGCTTCTCTAAGAATTGATTGTGTGCTAACTCTGTACCAGTCACTGTCATGGCTATACACAAGAACATTTAAGTTGTAGTCCCACATTGGTTTTCAGAAGATTCTGTGCATTTCAAAAATAGATGGTGAAGGAAGTACTACTGAAAGCCCTCATAGAGATTCTACCAGTAATATACAAAGAAATCACTTTCTGATTTGCTCACTATAATTAGAAAATGACATTTGAAAGTTATAACCTTTTACCTTTTTGGTCCCACAATAATAGTCATCAAAAGCCTTTGAACGTATATGATTTTATTTCTAAGGAAAAATGTGATGTAGCTTTATAGCATTCTTGAGAGGAACATAAATGTAACAAATTAAAAATATACTTTACAGGGAATATCATGAAATATAGCAAGAAAAATTTTGGTTTATAATTAACCCATGTTTCTGAAAATATAGAGTCACATTTTAATAAAAAATGGATTTTAAATAATGGGTTCTAGGAACTGCAGTTGTAGCAAAACTTTGATGTATTTTTATACTTGTTTGCTATTGGAAAAACACATGTTTCTGTCAAAGCACATCAAATTCATGAACACATTTTATATGCAGAGCTCAATAAATATCGTCTTGTACTCATTTTAAAATATGATCAATAATGGAAAAGATTCCATGAGCTTCTGGAAAAAGGTAAATTCATTTCAGCTGTTTGGGGGGGAAATAGTGTGTAGATGTCTATTAGGTACATTTGATTTATAGTATTAAAGTCAGAAAAATCCTTATTAATTTTATACTTGGATGACCTGTCTGCTGGTGATAGGGGTTCTTGCAAACAACATTTAGTTGAATTTTGTTTTTTGATCCAATCCATTAATCTGTGTCTTTTAACTGAGGAGTTGAGGCCAGATGCATTCAGGGTTATTATGAATATGCGTTTGTAATTTTCTGATATTTTGGTTTCTTTACTACATTTAATTCTGTCTTAATTTTCATTTAGTTGGTTGCTCTTCTCATGGTCATCATCTATTTAGGAGCTTTGGGAGTTATTTTTTGGGTATATCTTTGTGCAGTTTATCTTTGAGTATTTTTTGTAGTGCTTCTTTGGTGATCATAAATTCTTTTAGCTTATCCATGTCATGTAAAGCAATTCTTTCTACATTGATTTTGAAAGAGCTTTGCTGGATTTAGAAATCTTGACTGACAACATTTTTCTTTAAGAGCTTTCTTTGAATATCTCATTCTGGGCCTTGTTGTTCTTTAGGATCTGAGTTCAGAAGCCAGAAGTTAGCCTTTGTGGCTTGCTCCTAAATGAGACCTGACGGTTTTTCTCTTGCAGCTTTTAGTGCTCTTGCCTTCTTTTCTATGTTAGGTATTTTAATTATTGTGTGTAAAAAAACAAAAAGTTGAAACTGAGAGAAAATTTTTAAAAAAGAAATAAAAAGGAAGAAAAGATGATATATATTTATAGCTACCAGGTATTTTGTCTTCTCTTTTTGATTTTTGTTAATTAAGAAAAAAGATAAATCAAAAGTTACCAGCCCAAACTAGGTGAAGTCGGAGAAGAGAAAAAAGCAGATCATACAACAAATACCTTTCTGACACCTGGAGCTTCCAAAACCACTAAGAACACTTTCATTAAAATTAATTGTATGAAAATTTATATTAAATTATGTAATGAATATTAATTAATCAGATTTATATTAAATTTTATTTAAATTCATTTCTTTACATTTTATTAAATTAATTTAAATAAAATTTAATAAATTTTAAATATAAATTATGTTATAATTTAATATAAATTTTTATTAAATTAAAAAGCAATACAAATAAAATTTTAAGTGCTACATCAAAAAATCAAGTTAAATTAAATGTAATAAAACTATCATAAAATTAATTATTAAAATAAATTTAAATTAAAGGTAATAATATTAATTTATATTTAATTATAATATAATTTATATTTAAA